ATGAGGTACATAATAACATCTAATAGTAATGCGTATTTGATAGTACATCACAGTAAAACTGACGATAGTTTAAGTCACATCATTCCACATTAAAACGCGACGTAACATCTGTTTAAGTTCCTAACTACCACTTTTGGTATAGATGTTGCCGTTGTTTATCCAACCGTTTTCGATAAAAATAGCTAGTAGAAAAGCGCAAGTTTATATAACACTTATTTGAATATCTACAGGCTTATCGAACTGGAAATACATAGAGATTTGGCTCGAATTTCTGTAATGTACAGCTGAACACGACAATAACAGACGCCGATCTTTACCTGCTTTCATTTCGACCTTAGGACTTGAGCGTTGCTAGTGAAAATACATTGAAACGCGGCTTGTGCATTGTACGCTTGTGTTGGATATCGAGGGGGGCCTCGGTTGTTGCGACTGCTTTCAGTGCCGAAAAAGGATAAAGAAACTGAATTCGATTGGTAAAATGGCGTCTTTTCAGGGCTCCATGAAAGCTTGCCAGATCTCAGTAAGTATAGGAGCATTTAGGTAGATAGAACTTTCATTCATGTCTAAAGTTTCTGAAACGCAAGCACATCTAGGCTAGTTTGTGAAAATCCATCGGTTTGAGAGGATGCGTGGTTAGTTGGTGTCTATATTCAACTATTTAGCAAACTTGAAGACTATAAGCCAGTTGGCCTAACAATGACAATAAATATGGAATACTGTCCACTTTCTCTTGTAATAATTCTCGTGTAGCCACCAGAGAATTAACAAGAACTAGCGGTTATGGACAAGAACTCAGGTCAGTGATGTTACATCATGTGGTTTATAAAACTGGTCATCAATTCAAGCTGTCTCATCTCTTTACTTACTATGTGTCTAGCCCTACGGCAAAGTTGGTGTCTGTCTTTAGTTATACAACAAAACCAAATGATTGCCGCTAGATTCCCCCCCCCCCTTGAGAGGAATCACTTTTTTTTTCGTTCCTTTGAGTACAGAAGCAAACACAAAAGTTAGCTCATAGCCTCTCACTGAATCCAGCGAGACCACATTAGCGATTTTACACTTCGTCCAACTATCGTGAGGGGTCTGAGAGAAATTTGTATTGAGTATAATAGACTACGTGCTTTTTATAGGATAATTAGAAGACACTTAAAAAACACTGGCGTGCCTCAGCCATTATCCTCTATGTGACAAGTCAACGACATATAGGAGTCGGTACGATTGGTCAGAAAGACAACGCCAACGAAAGAATATCTCGCCAGCAGATGTCATCTTAGAGACTCATATTATGTATGAAAGGAAATATGACCACTAGTTTAAAAAAATTGGTAAGAGAATCTACAATAAATGTATATAGCATAGAATAATACAAGTGTCCACTATATATATATTAATATTTTTTGTTGTAAATCATAGTCTTATAATAATACTTTCATTTGTGTGTTACACACTGATGTAAACCAAACGGTAAATGTACATATATATATATACTAACTAATTATCAAGAACCTTGATGTTATTCCTACCATTTCTACTGTTGTAGTCAAACAATAGCAGCTGTTGTGTATCTGTCTAAGGAACTAGTCAGTTGGTCCCAAAAGGTAGTCAAACAATAGCAGCTGTTGTGTATCTGTCTAAGGAACTAGTCAGTTGGTCCCAAAAGGTAGCCAATATTGATAGTTACAAATAAAATTGAAAGGAATAGGTAGTTTTAGACATAATTGTTTGATTGTTGGTTTGTTTCGGATATTTGCGAAAAGATACGCAAGAGCTATTTACGTTTCTCGTCCCTAATTGAAGTGTTTGTTTGTTTTATTGTTAAATGCAAAACTACACAATGGGATATGTCTGCGCTGAGCCCATCACAGGCATAGAACCCATAATTTTAGGGTTATAAACTCTGAAATTTACCGCTGAGCTATCGGGAGCATATTTAACTGATAAATTAGATGGAGGGTAACTAGTTAACAGCACCCATCGCCAACTCTTGGCTACTTTCATTGATTAATGGAATTTCACCGTCACTCTTATAACACACCCACGGCTCCAAACTGCCAAACGCGATTGTGCTGCAACGGGACGCGAACCTCGGATTCACAATCTGACAGGCTAATTAGTAGACAGAAAATACAAGAATAAAGTGGTGCATAAAAATTCACTGATAATCAAATCTGATACTGAGTCACGTGCAAATATCACGTCTTTATATTGACCTCTGAACTCTATAAGAAATACGCTTTCAAGTCAAGTATCAATCCATTATCAAGCATAAGCGAATTAATACCGTTACCAGATTTGGTTGCTATATATAAAGCATTCTATAAATACACATATATTACAAATTAGTAACCCAACCTAATATTTAGCTTCTAATTACAATGAATTATCTTATTACCAGGCGCAAATTAAGTCAAACTTAATAGTCTAACAGATTTTAAATTCTTTAACCACGAATTGTAAATAACCATGTCAAAACAAAGTGTTATCCAGAAATGATCAGATGTGATCCAATAATTCAATATGAGATTAAATAAGATCCCCAAGATCTCGCAGGGAATTTTCAATAGCAGATATAAGTTACTTCATTGTGAATTGACTAAGATAACAATACTTATTTATATAGGATAATACTTGCTTCAGACTGACAATTAAGATTTTTTTTAAGGTCTGTTTTTACTTGAAAACATAAAGTTCTCGTGTATTTTTGTCTAACTGTAGAAAAGACAATGATAAGATGTTATATATTTACTAGAAAACTGAGAAGTAAATGAATAAACAGGAAAAGGCATTAGACGATATAACGAACTCGGGATTTTTGTAGATAGCGCAAAAAACAACAACTAAAAGTTAATTTATCAGCATTTTATGATACAGCATTTAATCTGTAAACGATATATTTTCAAGTGTAAACAAAAAACAAAATATACAAACCGTTAATTTACATGCAAAAACAAAAAACTCTCTCATATTAAAATATAGACAAGTAGACATAAACAGACCGGTAGGCAGGAGGATATGTGATCCGAATTTAGAACATAATTAATTTTGGTATACTTTTAATATGGGGGATTTTAACAAAACTAATATCAATTGTTTGGTGTATTTTTGTTGTTATTTATTAGTAGAATAAGTCTTTATAACTAACTAAAGACTTTGTTATTACAGTTTGATCGGGCTTACAGCTATTCGATAATTGTTTATACATAACCCATTAGAGCTTATCAAACATCATGTTGAAATAAACAACAAAACTCTTGAAAGAAGTTGCCACATACTGTATAGTTTGAGTTGTTGAATTTCACGCAAAGCTACTCGAGAGCTATCTGTGCTAGCCGTGTCTAATATAGCAGTGATAGACTAGAGGAAAGACAGCTAGTCAACACCACCCACCCCCAACTCTTGGGCTACTCTTTTAACGACGAATAGTGGAACTGGTCATACAATTATAACGCCTTCACGATTTAAGGAGCGAGCATGTTCGGCAGCTAGGATTCGAACCCGCGACCCTCAGATTGCGAGTCGAGCGCCCTAATCACCAGGCCATGTCAGGCCCTCAGACTTTATTGACTAGTACTATAAGAATTAAGTGCGAGGAGCATTCATTGCTCCGTTTAGGAATATTTTACGGTAAAACATCGCGAGGTAATAAAATATAAATTAATGTTATTTCTTCTTATAGCAACACACAGTGCATTTTAGGTTAGCGTAGTGTTCCTTTTAATTGTCATTATGGGATTAAACACTACAGTTAACGACATTCACCAGAAAATATGCTATCTCAGTGACAGTGCATTCATTATATATAATCTTTAGTAAGTAAGCCTTCTCGAATTCAGAATTTCAATCATTTCAATCAGCTATACGTTTTAAACACAACAGACGTTATAATAAACTTCAGAAGCTCATTCCTGTAACGTCAAATAAGGACTGCACAAACAAAAATACGAGAATTTTTCTACGTTAAAGATATACTCATATTATAACCATATCATATTCGAGACATTGCTCACAAATTTACAAACTCATTCCTGTAACGTGAAATAAGGTCTGCATAAACAAAAATACGAGAATTTTTCTACGTTAAAGATATACTCATATATATTATAACCATATCATATTCAAGACATTGCTCACAAATTTACAAACTCATTCCTGTAACGTCAAATAAGGACTGGACAAACAAATATACGAGAATTTGTCTACGTTAAAGATATACTCATATATATTATAACCATATCATATTCAAGACATTGCTCACAAATTTACAAACTCATTCCTGTAACGTCAAATAAGGACTGGACAAACAAATATACGAGAATTTGTCTACGTTAAAGATATACTCATATATATATTATAACCATATCATATTCGAGACATAAATTTACGTACCTCATATTTAAGTCATTTATTAATTAAAGAATTATTGAAGTGAAACGAAATTGGTAATTTTAAAAGTGATAACTAACTCACAATCCTTCTTAAAGCCAATGAATTTTAAATGTGTGAAAATAATAATTTAATTTGATATGTCCGATATACCCAGTTTACTCCATTCTACACTTCGGCAAATACAAATAATTCAGTTGTCACAACAATATTTATATTAGGCATTATTAGCTGTTGTTACAACAATATTTATATTGGACATTAATAGTTGTTGTCTCAACCATATTTATATAAGTCATTAATTGCTGTTGTTACAACCATATTTATATTGGGCATTATATTTATTATGCTTTTATCACGATCTATTTAATTCCAGTTTTCGCTATTACGTGAATAATCTTAAAGTACGTACATATTACCAATTTGTTCATCATTATTGCTATTAAAGAGTTACTGGTTCATGCTATATTTGTTCGTTACATTTTATTCTTGCATTTTTTACTCGATGTTAATAAACAGGTTTACCACAGTTCATTCAGTACATCAAGTCGATTTCTATATCTTTGTCATCGTTTAGCAAATTGCATATCTGATTTCTGACAACACAAAACGTTCAGCAAAGTGAAACACGCAAAATTCCCGTGTTAAGGAAGATCTACATGTGTATTCCTTGTTTGTAATCTTGTAGACACCGTAAAAACTGGTGTCAGTCAGTATAGATGTTCACGCGCTAACAAGATATGTTTTTTATACATTAGAGTTTTGTTTCAATTTATTTAACCTATAAGTCAGCGAAATTAGATCTAACGCCAACATTAATTAGAGAAATTTATCCATATCTAACACTTTATCTCGTAAAGAGGGTAGGGGGAGACCAAAAGTTGTAATTATGTATTTATAACGTTGTCCATTCTCTCATTAGTCAATCATTAAATCACCGTCTCGTCACAGAATGTTAAGTCTTCACAGCCTCACCCACTCATCAGCTTTATCGTCTACCGCGTGCAAATGGTACAGCACGTGCATACTCTCGGTTCCATTACTCTAGATGTTCTTTGACATTAGATTCCCTTGGTTCGGGATCGCTCCTGTCATTTATTGATACTGAGTCCCCATTCCGTATATTTCTTTTTCCATATCCCCAGTGGCTTGAACTGCCGGTGACTCCATATTAGCTTGCTCTGTCGGGAGGGGCTTAACTACTTGAATTTAGGATTAATTCATAGATCCTAACCCATCTTTAGTACTTGAACTGCCAATGATTACATACTAATTTGCTACGTAAGAAGGAATTACTGCGTGTATTTACAATTAATTCATAGATCCTAACCCATCTTTAGTACTTGAACTGCCAATGATTACATACTAATTTGCTACGTAAGAAGGAATTACTGCGTGGATTTACAATTAATTCATAGATCCTAACCCATCTTTAGTACTTGAACTGCCAATGATTACATATTATTTGCTACGTAAGAAGGAATTACTGCGTGGATTTAGAATTAATTCATAGATCCTAACCCATCTTTAGTACTTGAACTGCCAATGATTACATATTAATTTGCTAGGTAAGAAGGAATTACTGCGTGGATTTACAATTAATTCATAGATCCTAACCCATATTTAGTACTTCCTAGAGCTTTAGTTTTACGGTGTGATTAAGTGTGGAACTACAGCGAGGGAGAAGTCTTTATCAGGCAGGCGGTAGCACTGCTTATGTAGGGATGGCTCGGATTGTTCATCAAAATGATATTTAAATATCTCCTCAACAGGTCATCAGAACTTTACAATAATATACAGTGTTTCCTTTTATAATAATATCTATATAATGACTGAGTCACAAATTCTGGGAATGTCTGTAAATTCATAGCAAAAAGTTTGAATTTCTTGTTCTTCTTTCTTCTGCTTCTTTTTTATCACATGATAACTCAAAAACCAAAACAATGTTGTCAACCAATTTCACTGAAGTGACATATTTTCAAACGGAGTGTCCGCTTTTATAAGTATCACTAATAACAAACAGTAATTTTGTTAAAAATCACAATACCCCTTAAAGTCAGCTTTTCTACAGAAAATTTACTCTTCCTTTAAAAAGTTCAAATAAAGGGTGAAACAGGAATAACCAGCCAATAATAGATAAACAATAAATATTACAGTTAGGACATCATTGTATTTAGAACTCGGTTATAAATACAACCTTCCTATGTCCATTGAAACAATGCATTAAAGCAAACAAGCAAAAAAAAAAATGCCAATGCTATCCCTAGTATCCTGTTTGCATTGTTTTTGGAGGATTAATATCAGCCATCCCTACATTTACTTCCTTTTATGAAAAGTGTTTTGTTTTACTTGTAATTCTAAGCGTTATCAGTACCAGCTGGCTAGGTACCGAAACAAAATGGAATCCCCCCACCGCAAAAATGAACAAAATGGCCCGTCTAGATTCTAGAACAAAGACATGTCATGGTAAAGTTAAAAGTATGATTTCAACACTTCGTTATGTTTAAGTTATACGAGAAATAAAAGTATTTATATATATAAATTGTAATCCTCGAATTAACAATAAGAGAACAAAGCAACTGTCAAGCATGAAAGCATAAGTAAAGGAAAATTATTTCTAAAACTAGGTACTTATTAAACCTTATGATAATCAAACGTGTGTGTATGTGTATATTTATATAGATTGTTATGCCAAAAGTTTAAATGTGAATAAAGTATACACATTGTTGATATTTGTATTGTTAGCCGAAAGTGTCGATATAAGTTTGCAGGTGTTGTATAATAACAGTTAGGAAAAGGATTATAATACGTCTGGAAGCTTTAAAGGAATTTGCCCACATGTTTTGGAGCATGCGCGAAGACGATGCTTTCATCTGTTAAATCAGTTCTTTTTCCAACCCATCGTGTTTGTGATACTTGTGATAATTTAACCGGCAGTAGCCTCGCAGATTAAGTTGTCATTACTAGTAAAAAGAGTTGGATCAATTACTGATTAAATAACTGATAAAAATTAAATCAACAGATACTAAAATAAATGATGAGCCCTGGTCTAGAGCCAAAGGCTTCGTCGGCACATACTGTGGCATAGCCAGCATCAAATGGATGTGGATGCATACATGCGAAGCCTTGGGGGGGGGGGGGGGTCTGGGGGCAAGCAGTTATAATCAGTGATATATTGAAATAAAATTTGAATGAATGAAAGGGTAGACATTACTTATATATTTTATATTTATGCATTAAATATATATTGTATATATATATCTTTTTAAAAAATGGTAGCTGTGCCACTGACTGGATATCACAGAAGTAGTGTGCTTGGTATATTATAAGATATTCCTCTTTGCTTCCACTCATAAGTTCTTAGGAATGATACACTACAAGTCGAGTTACTGTATACACTTAAAAGTAAGTTTATTATGCCTGCTTATGAGTTGAAATGTTTACAGGATAATCTAGATTTGAGATAATGTGGAGATATGATTATACATCAAAGTTTCGAAGAAGACGAAGAAAACATATCATTATTTTATATTACTGATATACAGGGTGAGACATAATTATGTGCCCAGCCGAAATATTGTCCTATTTAACTGATATTTGGGGATTTTACTCGCCCTCACGTATAAGTACAAGTCCCCAACTTTTGGCCTTCATGAAATGTAGCCTCCGCATGTTCTCTACAGGTACTGGCCGTCTAGAGAAATGATTTCTGAACTTGGCTGGCATCTCGGCGATAAAACCAGTCAGCGCCAGGCTGACGACAAGTTTTCCCGCTTCTTCGGTGTCTCTCTATGTATCCTTGTTCCCTACTTGTGGATACACAAAATAAATACGAAAGTTAAAGAAACAAATTCCAGTGACTTAGAAGAAGCATGTCCAAATATCGTCCATATTTGATTAATGTTTCCAGATGATATACAAGTTTTCTCACCCTATACTTAAAGCACCATGATGTTTTAGATTGGATTTCAAAGTAGAACAAGAAATATAACTTTTAGATTGTAAGATTTTTAGTTATTAAAAGATCAAGAGTTTTACAGAAAACAAGTGATAAAAATTGTATGTCACTTTATCTAGTAAAAGCTTTAATAATTCTGCAATTAAAGCGAAATGTTAATTAGCTTCTAAAAGCAATACTTATATATATATATATGTGTGTGTGTGTGTATAGAAAATTAATACGTAAACAGTTAAACAAAAATTAACATTAAAAGGAAGGACTGCGTTAAAAACAGCAAATCCAAACCTGTGATAAACGACATTTTAATGAACAAAACAGAACAGACTCAAACAAAAAACGAAATTGAAGAAGCTGCATAATTAAAAGGATCCCATGGGTACAGGCTATAATGTGGGATTTAAAAGACATACCGCTGTGCCACTGGGGGCAAGTGAAGAGTTAAACTTGGGTCAGAAGTTAAGATTTGATTTCCTCTATAGCAAGGCTAAATGAATTCAGTTGCCTGAGAAAAACGTACATGTAGCAATCACATAAGAAACTGGTTGAATAGACATATAAAATATTGAGATTTCGTTGCGGGTGGACGTGACGGATTGATTATTAATTAAATATAAGTAACAGCAATTCCAATTATACGTGGAAGGAGTTCTCAGTAATAGCAACTGAATATTTAGGATAGTTATATAGAATATATATATATTCTGCAGTTACGCTTCCTTTGTATATATAAATTGACACCTTCATATTGTTTGTATAATGTTTGTTTCTTTTAGAGCAAAACTAGACTGGGATACCTACTGTATCCACCACGGGGAATCAAACCCCGGATTGCAGCGTTGTAAGTCCATAGACCTACCGCTGTCCCACCGGAGGACTGATTATAAAGTAACAATTAGATAGTTTTCATAAATGTTTTCCAGCTTATTGTCGAATAAACAGGAACAGAATCTTCAAAATAAATTAGTTGTAGGTACAAGTTTTACAACTATACCGACTATCAACATTTTACAATCTGTTTTACGCATGTATAAAACTGACAAAAGCTCATTGTTATTACATATTTTCAGTGAGTTAGTTAAGCCTAAAAGTTCAGTTAAGGCAAAAAAAAAGTAGAACTTATACGTATTCATTAAATTCCTAATCTTTGCCGATAACGTCATTTCGAGCGTGTAGTTTCGTTCTTTTCTCAGCTCAACTTGCCCTCTTTCTTCTTTTATTATAAAGTTTCCGAAAGTATTTGCGTTTATGGTCTTCCTTTTCTTTTTATTCCGTGGAAGGATTTAGATCCTAAGAACCAGAGACGCTAAAAAATATACAATTCCTCTTCCCCCTCTTAGTGGCCAGAGAATATACGACTAATCATTTTTCAAAAAGAAAAAACAAATGTTTGATATAGCGTAGTATATTTGTACATAAAAACTCACACATCGTTATATTTCGTATGAATATATATTTTTAATGTAAGCAATTATACTTGCTGCTCAAGATTTGACCAAGAATTAATTTGTTTATCCAGTGTTTTGGTTGACAGACGTCCCATTTGTGTACGAAACACACAGCTAGCTTCCTTCAGTCCAAACAGCACTAGTTTGTAAATCTTCGAAGTAAAGACCAGCTTATCGGCCGTCTGATCGCTAAACCTTCGAAGTAAAGACCGGCCGTCTGATCAATTTCTTTCATCAGAAATGTCAGCGGCCGCGGTACCACAGCAGGTAGTGGAAAGAGTGTTCTTTGGGCCGGAATTAAGTGGCTTGGCTTCAACTTACATGGTGTCCGATGTTCTTATCTTCCCCTTTTCGGATGTTTGTCAAAGTAAATCCCGGCATCTTTTCAAGTGAATACCGGTAACGAAGACGGATTTGACAATTTCAGTTACAAAGATTATAACAACTTACACGAAACATCTGCTAAGCTGCAGTCTATCTTTGCAGTCATGTATATGAACATTTTGATAATGTTTTTTTTTCAAAGAAATATATTAAAATGGTTATAATAAATTTTTATTCTTGCAAGTACTCTATCTTTTTGAGAAATATCATTTATTTTTATCCAGTATTTGCACATAAATTAGTGGGAACTATTCTCCATAATAACTTCTGAATTTATAAAATCATAAAGTATTAGTGGTACTTTTAACAAGCGTACAAATTGGAACATTGCCGTTAGGCTTGCAACCTGAGTCCAGAGCAATTCGCTAGTTTCTTCTTACAGAACAATACAAATAGAAAACAAAGCCCCCTGAACCCAAAATGATGCTAATCTGTTATAGAATCATTGATATTTTCTTGCATTCGGTGATTTATAAAAGACAATTTATCTCACATTAAAACCTATTACAGTTATATTGGAAAATTTATACAAATAGACATAATTCATGTAGGTTTTAATTGACCTAAAACAATACAACACTGAACTGAATTAATCAAATAAGAATATGGATTAAAAGAACAGAATACAATAATAAGTCTGTAAAATCAGGTGTTTATTGTAATAATAGGCAAACCAAATGAAGCTGCATTATCAGCTCGATTTGTTAACTTATTATCACAGTTTTATCTAGGCATATTAACAAGACCTACCATTTTTACCTTTATTAATATTAGACGTTAACAAATACACCCACTTTGTCTCTAAGTAATTATAGGTGTATAATTTCTTCACGATTTAGTTAAAATAAAAGTTATTAACACCTTATTATTTTTAACTATGTGATTCATCACATTGTTTTGGATACCCTGTAGGTAAACATTAAGATACGGCATACCTTTGAGTACACCATAATCGCATGTCAGCTAGACAGGAGATGGACTGGTTCCGAGATAGGTGCATTCTGTTGCCCGTTTCATGCAGGTTGCAGCAAGATATATTATTAAAATAGTAATTAAATAATACAGAGGTAAAAGACACTACATTTTCAACAAAAGAGCGTTCAATGTTCTTCATAGAAGCGAACAAACTCGCGCAGTAGGAAGAACTTAGGGCAAAAAGAGGCTCCAAAACCAAACTTTAAACCAATCTGGAGGAACACCTTCTTCCGCAAAGTAAATTCTGTGGTTACGAAAAACTATTCTCCTACATAAAAAGCTGTTACGATGAAAGAGGGCATTTTTTCTGATGCAGTATTCAGGCAGATATGTAGTATCCAAGCTTATAAGGTATTTTACCCACTTTATTTATTAAAGTGAACCCAAGTTCACTTAATTTTGTTTTTTCAAAATTTTCATATGTACAAGTTTATATTGATTTAACGTAGAAGTCTGGTCAATTAAGTAGATAAATTCTTTTACCACTAGTTACCTATTGCACTGGATCCTACACCTATGGTGTCACTTTCCTTTCTCGTGAGAAGGACTGAGTTAAAGTAACAACAATGCACCTTATGAATGTGGGCAGTGATCATTTTACTGGCGAGTCAGGTGATAGCTTGAGGATACATCCTCCCTTATTTTTTGATTGGAATAATGAATAGTGAAGTAGGTAGCTTACAAGTCCTGAGAAGAATGGAATTGTGGAATTGTATATATAATGTATCTTTTCTCTGTTGGGGACAGATTTTGTAGTTCTTCAGAGAAAACTTTGAAATATCCAGTAAAGACGCCGTCCTCCTGTAATTTCGATTGTGTTTTGTAAATTGAATAAGGTTTCTTTCATACTGTTTTACATTATGTCCTATCTCTTCCTTTTTCTCAACCCAGTTGAAATCAAGAGAGCTCGGTTTAACTCTGTAATGCACTTTCTGGTGAACCTCACTATTTGTTGCTTCTACCGAATCTCAGGCGAACGGTTTGTCTTTAAGTAGCGCATTGGTATCGTTAATAGGATAACAAACAAATATTTCAAGTTGAGAAAGGCTCACTAGCCTAACTGTCACAAGCTTTTAGCCTTACCTCAAAATCGACAGCTATTATCACTAGGATGGTGACCGAAGATAGTGGGATCGCAGCAAAACTATTTGACCAAACACCTGTACAGACCTCCAATTAGCTCCAAAATAATTTAAATTTTGAGCTTTTAATTTGCTTAAACGCGGTCTGGGGAACCCACGTATACGTACAATGTAAAGGCTGTGGAATTTTCTTTTTTCATTTGTAGCCCGAGATTCACTTCACCATCTTTCACAAAAGCTTGTTGCTATGGAAATTGTAATTTCGGGGTAATAGTGCGTAATCATGGTCATTAGACTGAGCATAGGTTACGATGGAAGAAATAATTCCAACTTCATCACGGGGCCCAAGACATCGTTTTCATAAGGTGCAAGTAACCTTCGGTGTTTTAAATTATGAAATATATAATTGTATTAAAATGAATTCACAGGGAAAATCCAATTATTCATAGTCTTTCAAGCCTATCATTAAGAAAATAGACTCTTCTGAGAATGCAAATCGACCGGCTTCATGATGTCATATGCAAATAACCCTGAAATGTACATATAGGTACCCTCAGGAAGCTTTGGATGACGTTTCGAGCTGATAGAGCAGATCTTTATCAAGTCACCCAAAGATTGGTGCTAGCAGCTCAAAACGTCATTTAAAACATCCCAGGCAAATGCAGTTTATTAACAACGTCTTTTAAACATTTTATTCTTTGTCTAAACTTTTTCTCAAGCAAGGTACAACTCAGTAAAGACCACGGAATACAAACAGCCACGCCAAGAGCGAAAGCATTCCAGGAATTATCGGCATTTTCTCGAGGTCACATAGCTGGACGAAGGGAGGGCTGCAAAGTCAGCGAAAAATCATTTGGTAACATGCAATATCGCTGTCCAAAGTAAATAAAGTGACATTGTAGTTTCAGTCATGTTGGAAAGCAACATTTTTTTGTAAGACCAGAGTGCCCAAAACCAACAGAATGCACTCCTTGCGTTGTGAGGTAAAAAATGGAATATGACCCACGGTCGCTATTATTTCTAGACAGGTGTAAGCCAAGTCCCCAAAACCCCTGGAAGTTGATTTCATTGTATGAGACACTCCTCAATCAAGGCGATATTGTACGTCGAAGCAATTGATATCATAGATTTTGGAACATTATAATTTTGTCCGACGAGTCCAGATTTACACAATTCTAGGACAGTGAACGGAACAGGGATTGTCCACTAGCTTCTCACGATCTTTCGTCTGAAATCCACACATGTGCCATTTGAGCAGCTGGACAATCACGGCTGTTGATATGTTTAGCGACGGGTCACTGTTAGTGCTAGATATGTCAGAATTCTCGAACAAGATATTCTATATGCGCCAATAAACAGTTTTCCAGACAAGAACAGTGCTTTCATGCAGAATGGCTTCCTGCTAACTGAGCCCGATTCACAAAGCATCCAAAACAAACAACTTTAAGGGGCACCATCATCCAATTTCTTCGCCAGAAATAGCATGCATTCCCACAGGCTCAGATTTCAGACTTGTA